ATGCATGTCTGGGGCGGCGGTGGCGAGCTGGGCCGCTGGCGCCCGCCCGCGGCGTTCGATCTGCCCGCCCTCGCAGTCGCTGAGCCAAGCGCGGAACATCTCGTCCAGGTTGTCTGCGCTTGCCCCCCGCGCCTTGTCGACGTCCTCCACGTCGGTGTTCCCGCGCGCGCTCTCGCGGGCGGGCGGGGGCCCCTGCGGGCCGATGGCCAGGCCGGCCGGGGAGGTCTTGCGTGGCAGCGACGGCCAGGGGGGGGCGCCCACGGCCATTTCGCGCGCCGCCACCATGTGGACGGGGGCTGAGAGGTCATCGCACGCCCCCGTCCTGCCCGCGCCTGGGCAGCGGCCGGCAACGAAGAAGTTGGCGACGCGCGCATGCTTGGAAGTGATGCAGTTTGCCTCCGTCGGCGAAGGCGCTCTCTCACTGACTGGGGCCAGCGCCTACGAGGGGGCATTTCGGGGGACATGCGGCCCACGGCCAGGGTCGAAGAGCAGCTCCGAGAGCCCGCCAACATGGCACAGGATGTCAGCGCCCTGCCGTCCAGGTCGCAGGAGGCGCGGAGGCAGATCGAGGCCTGGATGCTGACATGGCGCCGCCTGTATCGAATTTGCTTGGGCGGTGTTCCTTGGGCGAGGGTCGTTGCGATGTCTGTGGGTTTGCGGTCGCCCTCCAATTGGGTCGTCACGTTGCTCCAGCTCGTGATTAATCATCTACGTGATGCGGCCTTGCTACGCTGGCTGAGTAGTCGCTTGGGGAGACCCCCCTTGCCGCCGCGCGCCGGGCTTCCCCTGCGGCCGGCGCCTTTTGCCTCCATGGGCGATGGGCTGCTGCGAGTGGCGCGCGCCGCATGGGGCCCACTTCTTTTCGCGGTGCACGAGCTGCGCCCCGCTGCCTTCAGTCGGCGCCCGCTGCCGCGCCATCGCCGTCGCTGCCGTGAGCAGTGCGTGCCGCGGGGGCGGCTGCTTGCGATGTCTATAGTCTATCTGGTCTTCTTCCAGGCGCGCGCGAGGGTGGCGGGGGGCGCTATCGTCGAGGGTCGTTGATCCACCTCCTCAGGGCTTTGAGCTCTCCGTTCTTGATCGTGGCAGCCACTCGCGGCTGCTGGTCGCCGAGGGGCCATGTCCAGCGTCAGAAGCGCCGACCCGACGGGCAGGCCGCCATCGTCTCCGTGCTCGGGCGCCTTTCTCCGCCGCCAGCTGCCCCGTCGCCTGCCTCGTAGATGCATGAAATTGGTCGAGCTTCGCGTCCGGCAGCATCTTGGTTGTGCAGGGCTCGCCCCAGTGGCGCTGCCCATCCGCTGGGTCTGACTTTCCGCCCTGTCCCGATGTCTGGGATCCGCTTCTTGTCGCTTGCATCTCGGTCGCTGGGGCGGGGTCCTGTTTGGCGCCTTGCACTCGAATGGCGGCGGCTCGATCGTCGCGTCCGCGATGTTCTGTCCAGGGAGCTGCGGTGGCCCCTCGTCGAGCAAATGCCTTGCGGAGCTCGGTTTCAGACCCTTTCGCGTCTGTCCTGGCAGGCTCCTAGCACGGCAGGCCCAGGCGCACGCGGGCACTAGCAAAATAATGCCCCTGGCAAGCTGGAGTCTTCCTCCCAGGACCGCGCCCCATGACGCCGGAGATCTCCATGCGGGCGATGTAGTTGATCACTCACAGGACGGGGCCCCCTCTCCAGTCGGCACCGCCCCAGCCCAGTCGGTTGGGCGCGAGGGTCTGGGAGTTCGCGCAGCTCGTGGTCCGCGTCGCGAGTGCTCTGGTGACCCTTCTGCGTGCTCGACTGGGCCCATCGGGTAGGCCCTCGCGAGGAACGGGGCCCCTTCGCACATGTGACTCTTTGACGTTATGAGGCCCCTTCGCGTCCTAACGCTCTTCGTCGTTCCACCTGCCGAGGTTGAAGCGCCAGACTGCTGCCCCGCGCGGTCCGTGGCCGAGCCGTTGGACACGCCCATCTGGCTGGAGCCGCTGGAAGCACCCATCCCACTGAGCAGCTCGGTGGCCTTTTTGGAAGTACCCATTCTATCAGCTGCCGCCGAGCCTTCTCAGCGCCCGCCCTGGCCAGCCGCCTTCGCTGGATCACTGGCGGTCGGGCATCGACGTCGAGCAGGTGCTCGGGCGCCATCGCCAACGGGTGCCGACGCAGCGGGTGCCATCGCTTCGGGTAGAACCCTCCGGGGGGTTCATCCGCCGGCGGGCTTCGACCATCTCGGGGCCCGCCAAAGGCCGCGGCGTTGGCGAGGTCACCGATGTCCTCGTTCTATCCTATTGGCACTGCCGAACTATTTTGATTTCTTGGAAACGGATTGGATCAGGCGTGGCCCCGCCCACCCCGCGCAAGAAGGATGCTTTGCCGGGCTGCTGGGAGGGGGGGGTCAAGGGGCCCGGAATGGGCGCGCAGTGCTTCCGCCAGATTTCCGCCGCCGATTTCAACAGGCGAGCGCCGTGGTGAATATGCAAGGAAAGTGCTCTGGCCCGGCGCGTAGATTTGACCCCCCCGGAGCGATTGGACGGACAGTTGTTTTATTGCGGCCGCGAGACGAGGAAGTTTCACATCCGAGGCGCGTCTGCGGCCCGCGTGCCCGGGTCAATGCGCGTCGACGTTTGCGTTGCGCCCGACAGGAAATACAGTTCATGTCGTCTGCGGGGCAAGTCGGTCTCATGGTCGAGACGCGCCGAGGCCCGCGTGCCGGGGGCAAGGCGTCTCGAAGTTTACGCCCCGTTCGCGTCGGCCGTTGGACAAGTCAGTCTGGTGGCCAAGGCGCTCGAGAAACCCGCGTGCCCGAATCCAGGCGCGTCGATGTTTGTTCACCGCGCGGCAGAAGGAACAGTTCAGTCGCATCGGCCGCGCGACGCGTCAGTCTCGCGGCCAAGGCGCAGAGGTCCGCGCGCCCGAGCCAAGGCTTGACGCAAACAAGAGTTTCCATAGAAACTCGCAAGGGTTTGCAAGCTCGCCTTCGCGAGGTGACGCGTTGCGCGCAGATGTTCTGAGCTCGATTGCCCCGATCTGGCTCTATGACCGCGAGATGGTTCGAGGAGGGCGCAGACTACAGGCGACGAAGACCAAGCGGCGCTGGGATGGTGCCGCTTCAATATGATCTCAACATGAGTTCAATCTCTTCCTGAGACGGTTCCAGGAATTCCAACCTGCGAGCGGCGAGCGACCCCGATATGACACGATCGCCACAGGATGAATGCTGGCGCGGCCAAGGTGGTCCCAAAATGACCCGGCGACGTCCGCGCGATCCAACAATTAGTCCAGTGCGACCTGAATGTGACCTTGAGACGATCCCTAACACGGCAAGGAAACCGTAGCTTTGCAGCCCGATGTTGTCGGGCCGACCCCGGCGTGGCGGGGCCAGGGAATGAGGCGGGATCTTGTTTGAACAATTTGCGATGAGTGGGGCCCAGAGCCGAATGAATTACATTTATTCTGTTATCATGTATCTGGTCGGGCGGGACCCCGCCCATCCCGCGCAACAGGGGGCTCGCAAGGGCCGATGTATGCTGCCGTTGCCCGCGCGCCATGCCGCGTCCGCCGTCGAGGTGTCCGGGCACGCGCTCGCTGCGCCATCTCTGTTGGAATTGCCCACCCCAATTTCAAGCGGCTGCATTCGTCGACGGCGACGGCATTGTAGAAACTCGGTTACCCACCGGGCGGGCCATCCTTGGCGGATGCGGCTTGGGCTGCCATGGCGGTCACTGCCAGGCCCCTGCCGATAGCTTTCTGTCGGATGCGCTCGTGGGCAGTGGCCACGTCTGGCAGGTCCTTGCTACCGGGGTTGCGCCCGCAGGCTTGACCGCCATCAACGGGATCCTCGGCAGGCCCAGTGGGCTTCTCCTGGCCGTCGCGCGGGCCCGAGGAGGCGGCTGGCGCCGCTGGTTTGCCTTTGGAGCCCCCCTTGTATTCGCCCTTGTCGCTGCCGGCTGGGGCTGGGATCGCCATGGACTCCGCTGGCGCAGTCTCTTCCTTCTGGCGGCGAGCGCCCCCTTCCTTTTGCAGCGAGTCGGTCGCGCAAGAGCTGCATATCTTGCCGCTCTGCGTCTAGCGCCTGCGCCCCTGTTCCGAAAGGTTCTGAACTGCCGCGGTGAGCTCGTTTTGTAATTGGGTCTTCAGCTCCTGGTATGCTTCGCGCTCGCCGCCGTCAACCTCGAGGCCGTCCATCTCGAACATATCCCGGAGGTCGGGCACTTCGCCGTGCCGCGTCTTGAACAGGGCGATGCCGACCACAGGTTCGGACTGCTTCGGCGTGGAGGTTCCGCATTCCTTCGTTTTTCTCTTTGTCCTCTTGTTGCAGGCCCGCTTTGGCGCGCGCGGAGTGCATGGCCCTGCGCTGCCTTATCGCAAGAGGCGTAGGCTTCGGCCAGCCATGTTATCGCTTCGACCACAGTCTCAACTGTTAAGATGAACGTTGCCTCTGCCCTCCACAAGCGTACACGCTTCGCTGACGCTTCCTACTCGAGGAGATTGTGCTGGTGCAGTTTCTGTTTGTTCGGGGCGAGATGGGGGTCCAACTTTGTGAACGCCGCCCGCTGCTCTGGCGATGCCATGGCTGCCAACTGCTGGAACAAACTATATCGTGTGTCCTTTTTGGCCGTCCGCGGCCTGTTGGCTTCTCTCCCGTCGCGCGCGCGACCATTGTCTCCCATACACAATGTGCCTCCTGCTGCTACTCACGCGAATCAAGCGCCCCCCCCGCGCTGGCGGGGGATCCAAACTTGAGGTGGACCAGGGTGACCAGGCCGCGAGGATGGAAATACTGCCTCGGGCTACAGCTCTCCGTGTGAAGCCAAGGGTTGTCAATCACCTTGAGTTTTCAGGGCGATGGGGGACGATGAGGGCAAGGGGAAGGAAAAATGAGGGGGAGACAGAGGAAGGGAGGGGCTTGAGCAGGGGGGAGCAGCAGCGGCGAGGAGAAGGGAGGAGGAGGAGGAGGAAGCGGAGGAGAAGGTAGGAACAAGGGGCCACGGAGGGAACAGCAGGAACAGCCCGTCCACGCCCGCCCGCCCAGGGTGCTAGCGGCGAGACGGAGGGGGAATCTCGAGCAAAGCCGAATTGTTCGAAGGCGCCCCGTTCGCTGCCCGCGTTCTACGGTGAGGGAGCGGGCGGTGGAGGAAGATAACGCTCCAAAGGGTGCATCTGTACACCACCATGTTTGGCCAGGACTGTTCTCACACATGTTGTGGTGGACACGCCTTCCTGGCCTTGGCAAGAGGAGAGTGTAAGACATGCCATGGACCAAGCCGTCCAGGCCCTGCATGATGGTGTACATACGTACGTATATGTATATGCGCAGCACCCCCCAGCACCCACTGATGCTCTTCGTTCCCGTTGATCGTGTTGTTTCTCCCATCCCTTTCCGCGTGTCCGTTCTGCCCCTCCTCATCCGATTATGTCTGTCATGCGTCCTCCTCATTATTTCTGATACTTATTGTCCTCTTCATCGACTTGATGCGATCCCTCAATGCTGCTACTCCTCCCCCGCCTCTTTTCTTTGCGCTCGTCTCCTCCCCCTCTTCCGCTGAGACAGAGAGGCAGGGAGAGAGAGAGAGAGAGAGAGAGAGAGAGCGCGAGAGCCTCGACGGAACCGCGATCGATGTGAAGTAAGTGCAAGGTGTGCGACATCAGGGGGCACATTCCCTGTGATTGCACTTTTGTGGTTGGGTTTATGTTAAGATATTATCCGAATTCGTGTGCTTATACTTGACCGTATTTGTTGGGGGTATTTCGTGGGAGATTACAACCTCCAACCTAAAACTACGGTGCAGCCCTCCACAGGCTTGAATATCGTACATGAAAATTGAAACATTCAATTGACATCACATGGCTTCGTGTATCTTCGTATCAGAAATCTGAAACACCCAAGCGAGGTCACAATGTCTGGAGCCCCCATACGTGGCGAACCGTGTGACTCATGTCGGATCTGTGGGATTCCTACGAATATGCGACTCCCAGAATCCATGTATTTTCCGCTGGATGTGTGTTGGGACAGTTGGGAGTTTGTGTTTTCCAACGACAGCCCACGCTGCAGCACTACAGGGCTCTGAACCCCAGAAATCCCAAGCAGCCATACTCATCCATGTGGAACCAGATGGTTCCTGGGACTCTCACGCCAGATATCTAAAACATCCAAGTGAACCCACAGGGTTTGGACCCCCCTACTTCGCAAGCCAGGTAATTTCTCAGGGGCCGCTGTTTTTCGGAGTCTCTCTCTCTCTCTCTCTTTCTGTCTCCTCCTCTCCTGCTCCTGCTCCTCCTCCTGCTTCTCCTCCTTTGCCCCCATGTTATGCATCCTCACCTTTCTTACCATCCTCTTCCAGTCGCAGCGTGGAGGGCTGCAACGATGATTTTCGCTGGAGGATTTTCGCTGGAGGATGTCACTCTCGCAGGCTGGGACACGCAATACGTCCAGGATACCTGCAAGGTATTGCCGACCAACGCGCCGAACGAGTGCCTTGGCATTGTGCCTGGCCTTGCGGCGCGGGCGAGTAGGGTGGGGCGCAGGGGGATGGCTCCTCCTTCCGCGGCGCCATTAACAAGGTGCGCGCGAATCGTAGCGGGATCGGTGCTTCTATGCAATATTCCGCCGCCGAGGTCACTCTGCTCCATGGCTGCGCCGACGTCTCCTCCCTGAGTACTGGCTCCGGTGTCGCCGCGTCGGGGCGCAGGAGGGCACGCTGCAGGGGCACGACGCGGGCATCAGGTCATCTCTTGAATGCGCCTTGGGCGGCGCCCTGCCGGACACGGCCTGGCGGCTGGCCTCCATTGGCGCTGCTCACGGGGGGCTCGGGCTCCGGGCCGCTCGCGAGTTGGTGCTGCCAGCCTTCCTCGGCTCTCGGGCGGCTTGCCGGCTCCTCGTCGCGTCCCTCTTGCACGGGAACGCTGCCGCGCGCCTTAGCAACGCCGACGTGCTCCTGCGGCGCTACGACCAGCGGACCAGCGACGCTTTGGCGAGGTTCGCTGCGTCGTTGCCGCCAGACAGCGCTGTCGAGGCGCGGGAGACCTTCATCGACTGCTCCCGCGGCTCGCAGGCAGCCTGGGGCAAGCTGTTGGGCGGCGCAGAGGGCGGCTCAGAGTCCGAGTCGGGCGCCGACGCGGCGCGGATGCGCGGCACGGTTGGCGTGGGCATCGTGGATGACGTCGGCGCCGATGCTCCAGAGCACCCCTGGGGTCGCCGATCGGGCTCGGGGCCCGTGGGCCAGGGGCGGCTGATGGACATCGCCGCCGCGTGCGCTGCGCCGCAGAGGGCCTGGCCTGGGGCATTTCGCTGGAGCGGATGCCCACGTGGGGCGCGCCCGCCCGGCTGGACGACCTGCGTGACCGTGGCTCCGACCACAGTTTGATTTGGTCCTCGCGGGGTTTGGGCGCAGACCGCGAGTAGTTCGCCGAGGTGGTGCGCGTCCGTCCTGGGCGCTGGCGGGCAGCCCGAGCCCATCCTGCGCGGTGTCCGCGGGGAGCACTTCCTCGGCGCCGCCAGAGCCCACGCCTCGACCTGCTGCGCCGCGGAGGCGACGCTAGGCCACAACCTGGTCAAGAGGAGCGGCACCGATTCGCCGTGGTGGGCGATCGCCGTGACGAGCTGGAAATGGAAAGCCTCGTGCGTTCACGTCCATATGAACGACCTGCAGACGCGCTGGCGGCGGCCGTTGGCCTCCGTCGGCCTTGGACGTGGGAGTTACGAGTTTCGCCATCGCGCCCGTGCCGGGCGAGGACGCCGCCGAGGCGATGTGGCAGCGCGAAACCCGTAAGCAGGAGGGCATACGCGGCGAGCTCGAGGTGCTCGGCATCGCCTGCAGGCGGTTGCCCGGGCCGCCGCGCGGCGCCGCGGGGGCACGGGCCGCGCCATGGAGCGGGCGCCAACTAAGGAGAATCAGTGATTTTGGCATTTAATTTTCGGGCCCTCCTGGGAGACCTGGAGGTGGGGGCCGTTGGAGGGCCTCTAGAAGACCATTTTGGCCGTCTTGAGCGTTCTTGGAGGCTCTCTTTTGGGCCGTCTTGAAGGCCATACTGGACCCTCTTGGGAGAGATTGGAGTCCATGTTTGCCGTTTCGGAGGCCATCTTGGGCAGGAAAAACCTTTCGCAACCGAGTCGAACGCAGCTTTCCGGGTGGCCGGCGGCATCGGCCGAAATTCCAGGGGGAGTTCTTTTGGAAAAGAACGCAAACCAAGCCGTGCGACGTTCAGCACCCCAGGCACACCTGTGATAAATCAATAGGGGGCGGCGGATCGAAGACGCCCACGGCGAGCCACCGCCGCCCCTTGCCTTTTCTTGGAAGAGTTTATGTCGTCGGAAGTTTGTTTGTTTAGAGCTCGCCCAAGATCCCGGACCATGTGATTCCCGAGCTTTTGTGGAAATTATTCGGGGAATATTTTTGTGAGGATAGCGGGGGAGATCCGCAGGAGGCGGAGGAGGAGGAGGAGGAGGAGGGGGAATATGAGGAGGAAGAGGAGGGGGAGGAGGATGAGGAGTTGGAGGAGGAGGAGGAGGAGGAGGAGGAGGAGGATAATGGGGGAGGAAATGGCATCTTGGGAACCTCTGGGGGCAATCTTTCATCACCACCCACCAAACCACCCCAACCCAACCCGAAGGCTCAGATTTACCCTCGATTTCTAGTGGTGGGGGGGTCGGGAAACATTGAGAAAACACGCGTGGAACCCGTACCCCCCCAACCCGAAATTCGGGTCTTCGGGTTGGGTTGGGGTGGTCTGGCAGGTAATCATTCTTGGGGCCTCCCGGGAGTTTCGTGCGAGCTTTTTGGAGGCATCTTTGAGGGCATCTTGGGCCTCTTGGGGGCCTTTGGGGGATTCTTCGGGGCTCCTTTGCCCGTCCCACGGTTCTCCTGGCCCGTCTGACGCCGTCGGAAGCAGTCTTGGGGGCCTGTCTTGGCCGACTTGGAGCCTTCTTGGGGCACCTGCAGGGCCATATTGGGGGTTATCTTGTGTGCCTTGGGGACATGTTGAGCCGTCTTGGGGCGCGCATGTGCGTCGGATTTCTCGGTGCAGCAAGCAGGACGAGGAGTAGGAGGTGGTCCGTAACCTTTGTGGCTCACAGGGTCCGGCATCTTTTTTTTTCTGGGGGTCGTCGATATGAAACAGGAACAAGGAGGGTAATGAGCACAGCTCTCCAGGAAGAGGAATAGCATGATGAGGAAGAGCAGCAATTCTTAAATGGGGGCAGCATGAGGAAGATGATAAGGATGACGATAGGAAAGAGGAACGCGAATCGGAGTAGGAGTAGAAGGAGGAAGACGCAGAGGAGGATGCCAAGGGCGCTCGCACCAGGCGCTGCCCACCCTCGCGCTGCCGTCGCCCCTCCGCACCCCCCAGGCTCTCGGCTTCAACGACACCGCTGGGGCCAGGGACAGGAGCCGCCAGGAGTCGCCATCTCCGCGGCCTACCGCTCCAGCGAGTGGCGGTGGTACGACCTCGGTCGCAGTCGCGGTACCGCGTCCTCCTCCCAATCCTCCTCGTCCTCTCTCTCTCTCTTCCACTTCGTCCTCTCCGCCTCCTCGTTCTCCCCCTCGACGTCCTCCTCCTTCCCCTCCTCATCCCTGTCCTCCTTCCCCTGTGTAGGTGGTTTGGATCACGTGTTAGGTTTGCGCCGTGCTGTCGCGGCCGCGGCGCCAGCGCGGGCGTTCGAGGTTAACATCTACCAGCTGCCCGATTTCGGCCAGTCTGAAACGGTCTCCGACATCGGGAACTGCCGCCCTGGTCATTCAGGGTTGAAGGACCCACGCAGTGTCAGCAACTGACTCCCGCGTCAACGCGATGTGAACTTAACGTACCCAGCATTCGCATCTGTAAGTTTCATCATGTTGGCCGTTGTTCTCAATGATGCTGGGACCCTCACGTGAAGTCGACCTCTTGCCAAACTGTCACAAGAATGGGATTTCTGTTGCCTAGGAGTTGTGAACCAGAGTGGTCGCAATACACGTTAGGCGCCATTGGATTGAAGGCAATTTTTCTAGTTGCCTCCACTGCCGTGTCCTATCCAGCACCTACTGTGTTTCATCGTCAATCAAGCAACAGGCTCATTGTCATCAGTGTCCTCGTCGCAATCTTTACCACCGGGCCAATCCATGGGGTCCATAGGCCCCGATCTCACGGACAACCGTCAGACGACGAGCATTAGAGAAGGGTGGCCCGCCGCCGCCACGGCTGGGCACCGGGCTTCCGCCAGACACCAGACATCGAGCACCCACCAAACACCGCGAGAATGTCTTGTGCCGTCCCCTCTATCTTCCCCCTGCCTATTTCTATGTCTTCTTCCCTTAGTCCTCCTGCCTCACACTCCTCCGCCTCCTTCTCCACGTCCTCCCCTTCTTCTTTTTCTTCTTCTTCTCTTGTTTCGTTTTTTTTATTGTTATTACTTCTTTGTCTGCTCTTCAGCCTCCTCCCGTTCTTCTGCTGCACTGCTGCTGTGGCTCATAGTCTGTCTGCTGCTCCTCGTCTTCGTCCGCGTTGTCCTCGCGCCCTTGTCCCCATTATCTTCTTCGTTGTCCTCGTCATCCTACTGCTTCCGATGGCCCTGCTTCCACCATTCCTGCCGAAGCGCAGCGATTTCTCGCCGGGCCTGTCCGCCTGGAGGACCTCCGTTTCTGCACCGAGCACCACAACAGGACCTGGTGATGCGGGCAGCGGTAGCCTCGGTGGGTCAGGCCGAACATGTCTGAGCCGAAGGCCATAAGATACGGATATTGAGGAGGATGGGGTGCAGGGCGAAGAGGAGATGGACGAGGTTGACCTGGTTGGGGAGCGGATGGAGGAAATGGAGGTGATGGAGAACAGGAAGAGGAGGAGGGGGAGGAGTGAGGGGGCGTTTGGAGGAGTCGATTTGGAAGGAGGAGGAGGAGGGCACCGTTGTGAGAGGGCAGCGGTTGGAGGAGGTGTGTCCACGATCCACGAGCAGCTTCTTCATCCAAGTCATGTATGGACACGTAGCCCAATAACGGCGATGTCCGTTGCTGTATGCCACGTGTAAGCTGCGAATGGTAACAGTGACTGGAATCCCTTATCGCGCGCACATGGTTGAGAAGCGCAAGGTCTTTGACCACCGCCCCGTCCCACCATATTCTTCATTTCCTCCAGTGGGTCTGCACTGTCGCGTGTCCGTGGGGCTTCTCTTCCGGCGCCTCTGGCCAGGGACTCCCCCCCGAGGCAGCGCGCCGCCAGCTGCCCTGCCCTAGAGTGCAACGTAGCTTTCTCACGGGGAAGGGCTGGCGGGACCTGCGTTCTCTCTGCCTTGAGTGCGCAGGACTCTGGCCTGCGATTGACGCTCGCCAGCGTCACCTCGCTTTCGGCTTGGGCCCTGACTGTAAAGGAATTTCCCATCAAGCTGGAAGCGATGGACCAGACGGATGACAGGAACGACACAGACAGACAGACAGACCTGAGATTTTGATTCTCCTGGTTTGAGCAAATTGACGGATGGCCCCGCCGCCTAAGAGTGGAGGAGAGCATGACTGCATGACGAACCGTGCCTTCGTCGGATTGCCCTGCACCCCAAACCTGAAGTCTAGGAGCTAAGTCCATTATCTGTTGTTGTATTATGCGGGTTCGACTTGTTCGTGTGCGTTCCGAGTTCTCCTACTCCTTCTGGACTGCGTTCGGGCGTCGAAGGGTCTTCAGCCGGACACGCTCCCAGCCAGTCGAGTCTTGCGGGCAGGCGTTTGATTTGTCGCAGTCGACCCGATTTTCTCGATTCGCTGAGAGTGCTGTTCCATCATCGCCCTCCAGGAAAGCTTGACAAGAATAATAGATTGGACAGTCCGGTCAACACGTCGTGCAAGCCAACATTGGCGAGGCAGCCAGTAGCAAACAGTCGCCCAAATTGTCAGAAGGCCAGGTCACCCGGACAAGCAGCGCAGAGCAACGTGACGTCAAGGTTTTCATGAGTTTCCAGCGGACGAGGATTTTGTGGATGTTTGTTGTGTCTGTGTGTCATGTTTTGGTGTTGCTGTAACTCCACTGTTTGCGAGTGAAGATGCGCTGTTTGTCGAGCGCTGTGTTCTACACAAGGAAAGCGAGACGGGCTGCTTGATCGTCTCGTGGGTGATGGATGCTCGCGAGTTTCTTCTCCCGTTTCTGCCCCTGGCAGTATCCGCTGGCCTCCCCCTCCCCTCACTGGTTGCCCTCTCCCTCACCCCTTTGCCTCTATTCCCCTCCCCTCTCCCTCTGCCCTTCTCTCCATCCCTCCCCCTCACCATCAAACCCTTCCCCGAAGAGAAGGAAGGGAAATAATAAGAAACTCCCTAAACCACCTGCGCCCAGAGGGCTGGTGGGAATTCTTGACGCACGAGTGTTGTTGGACAGGAACATTCTCAGAGTGAGACCCGCGGATACAGCTGCAACAACCGGTGCCAGGAGACCACATTTGATACAGCAATGAGGTCTTCAGGAAGCCACGTGTAAATTTCCCCAGCGCTGCGACAACAGTACGGGCAGTCAACTTGTATGTATGTAGTGCGTAATTACCGGTGTATTTTCGTAGATGTCTTGCAAAGAGTCCTCT